GTAAGTTCTATATATATCCATTTTTTCTAGATTAGTAACTTTTAAATCAAATCACTTTAGTAGAAACAGTACTTAAATGAAACAAAAGGCTCTTACTAACATATTTGTCTGAAAGTCGCTTTTAAAGTGGTAAATTTATCAATCAGTAGAAACTAATTAGCATAGAACTAAAACACCATTAAGGAAGGCGAGCAGCGGCCGCTTTAATTGTCTCCATCCGTTACACTGAATCATTTCTATCTTGATAATTAGATGATGCAATTAAATGCAATATGGAAAGATGAATTGGCCTGTTCCAAAGATTTATATCTTGATGCATAGACTGTACAAGAAGATTCAAAATATAAAATATGAATTAGTCAGTGTCGAATATAAAATCCCAAGAACAATACATTCTCTTTTGAATGATTTCGTGTTATTTATACCACGCATACTCTTTCCGAAAACCTCTGAAAGATGATTATTCGGAAGAGAGGAGCAGGGAGATGGCGATGGTTTGGAGGTGGGGGGGGGGGGGGGGGAGATACCGAAATCTGACACGTCTCTGTGTCTGTCTTTTTGTGATAATCCGCAAGTATCTCTCCAGTATCAGCGCTGAGCACGTGGCACCTGCGAGATACGCAGATAAGGGTCGGAAGTGCTGTGAACAGAAGAGACGGTCGGCCGGTAGGGGGAAGGGAGGCAGGGTTGGGCTTTGGCACACAAAAAGGACAGGGAGAGGGACAGCGCCGACAGGAAGAGGAGACGACCAGCTCATGATTTATATGTAAATGGCTCGGCCCTCTCCGCACGCATCAGTTCTTTTGCCCAAGGAGTTTGTCATTGTTTTGCCTATGCCTCATTATTCGTTTCCCTCTTCTTCTCCATCATTCTACCTTTCCGGTCACCCTTATCCTTCTTACCTCCCCCCCCCCCCCCCCCTTTTCGCAGCAGCCTCCTACCCCGCCCAAACCCCCCTCCTTCCTCTGCTAGACAGCATCCTGTGAGATGGGCGGGAGATAAAACGAGAGAGTCCCCAGCCTCCGACCCGTGTCAGCTTCCCTCAGACGCCGCAGATGATGATAAGCTCCAGAATAATACGGGTAAAGACGTATTCAGATCAGCTGCACACGGGACGCCTCAATGGTACGGTAGTCCCGAGTCCAGTCCGCTATTCTGCTGCACCGTGTAATCATCCTAGCCAGCACAGGCCAGAGCAGCGGGCGTGTTCGGGGAAGATAGCGTGTCTTATCAGTGCCCTTCGACACTGATAAGGCGGTACGATACCACTGCCACCTTGTAACACATTGGCAGACTCCGCCCCTCACACTTACTCACTTCTCTTTCTTCTCTTGTCATCCTCCTCCCTGCTATCTTTATTGTTTTTTTCCACCTTCTCTTCGTCCTCCGTTTGAATTCCCTCATCTCTTCTCTCTCTTTCTCCTATTCTTTTTTTTCCTTTCTTTTTTCTTTTTCTCCTTCTCCACATCATCTTTCCATATCATCATCCTTTACTTCTTCCATTACCTCTTCTTCCATCTCCTGTTCCTCCTCTTCCTCTTCCTGCTCCTCTTCCTCTCCTTTCTTCCTTCACCTCCTCCTTCTTTCCGCTCCTCATCATCCATGTCCTCCACCTTTGTACCAATTCTACGACCCACGAAGAGTTTGAAGGGCGTTAAAAACTATAAATAACCATTCTTGAAGAAAAAAATACAAAGAAAAAGGAAAGACAGGGAGGCGTTAACTTTCATCTCGCGATAACCAATCCCTAAATATACACGGCGAAAAGAAAACACAACCTCCAAGTGTCTTGCGCGGAATTCGTGTATCAATAAAGTGCCTTCGCGTACCTCCGCCGGTGATTGCAGCCAGCGAGGCATGCAATGTTTCCCCCTTGCATGAAATCTGAGGATGCATCATCTCATAATCTTTATGAATTATCACCGCCGTTCTCCCAACATCCAGTGGGAGGGGGCGTCGTGTGTCGCGGGGGGGAAAATAATCACAAGCGACCACGCTTGTAGTGCCTTAATCCTCCTTCTCCTTAGGCTGATAATCGCCTCTATCGTCCTTCTTTGAGGAGAACGATTATCTTGCGGCGGAGTGTGAGAGTGACACGAGTGATGTCAAGTGATAACAGAGGGATAGGGAATGATAATGAGTGTTGATAAAGCGTGAGGGCGAAGATAAACGGCCGAGAGAGAGAGATAAGATTCTTGTTAAACCGGAACTTCAAGAAAGGAAGTATTGGTAATGTTTCCTTTTTATCTGTTTAACCGAGATTAAGGATCAGCTTAGGCAGATTTTGTTTCCGTCTCTTCTTGTTTTTTGTTTCTTACTCTTGCCCTACTTCTGCTGTACGTTTATATTTAAGTTATCTTTTTCATTTATCATCTCTATGTATAATTTACATTTTAGAAAGGTCAATAGTGTATTACATTTAAAAATTAGATAACGCCGGCATGATATACTAAGGATAGAATCTTTTCATTGTGATTGTGATGGCAATAATGATAATTAG